GACGATATATGTATATATTTACCGGGCAGTTCTGATTGTGACGATATATGTATGTATGGTAGGACGATCTCAAGCAAATAGATTACGAGAGGAATTTGGATAACTGGGATCTCAAGCAAAAAAGAAGAGTGGGGGCTCCTGCGCTGTGGCTGAAATCCGCAGAAGTGTTGTTAATGAATCGATAAGTCGTGAGGCCAAATCTGAACGGACATAATGATGTTAGGGACTGCCACCCCTGTTCTGAAGGAAACTAGATAATGGTTTTTCTTGTGTGCAAATCGAGAATGCATCTTCCGTCAGAACATGGAAAGATACACAGCCATAATTTGTCTTTTGTTTGCATGTGGTGAGTAGTGGAGCGAGGTCCAATGATGCACGAAGGTGAAATCCTTTCAAAAACATGCTTTTTAATTTTTTTTTTGTGTGAGTCTGTCCTTGCCAACAAGATAGCAAGCCCTTGCAACCTGTATCTGAGCGTGCAGAGGACCTGGTGCATGATCTGTATACTGGGCTGAAAATCTGACAGGGCCAGCTCGAGTGGGCTAGTTCTGTACTCCACCTAACAATTTTTAGGGCATACTGACTGGCACTAAGACATACCTGGATGCATCTGGCCGCAGTTACCCCGAGATCTAGTCCAAAAACTTGTAGTGCGAGTAGGCCTCTAGTAGCAGCATTGTTGTTTTTTTTTCTAAGGTTCTTTGTTGCCTTTTTTCCCTTGGGTTATCGTCATTGAACTGATCGAGTTCATGTCTGTACCAACGGAGCTGGGCGGCGTCCTTTTTTGTTTTACGTTTTTGTGTCAAGGCTGTTCTCTGAGCCGTCTCTGAATATGTATTTTAAACCTTTTTAATTTCTGGATGGCATGCATTACCGGTTTTTTGGATGTCTGGCCATTTACTTTCCTAATCTACTGTCAGAAAGGGAGAATCTTGCTAAGTGCGATGTACCGTCGTCACCCAAAATGAACGCCCTACCATTATAGCTCTACTTGGTCCAACTTTCAGTCCAGATGGTACATGCTGCGGACCTGTGCGGTGTTTTTGCGTGCGTACGTGTGTGTGTGTGTGTGTGTGTGTGTGTGTGAGAGAGAGAGAGAGAGAGAGAGCAGTTTGTGTGAGCAGCCGCAACCGTCATCATGAGTGTATAGGACGCTGATTGCCAGATGTGTGCATTCGAGAACGGTAAACCGGAGTTTACCGGAAGCATAGTTTTCGTGAGCAGGTGCAACCATCATCACGAGTGTATCTGAACTTAATCGTCATACATTTTAGAGCAGAATCGTCATACATTTTAGAGCAGAAGTAGCCCTTATGGAAGTTCATGGCAAGCACAAGTATTCGTGAGCAGCTGCTATCCTCACCTTGAGTGTATCCGCGACCTTGATTGTCAGCTGTATACATTCGGGAACAGAAGTGGCAGCTATTGAAGTTTTTGTGAGCAGCTGCTGCGCTCATCATGACTGTATCTTACCTACATTGTCAGATGTGTACATTGGAGGAGACAAGTGGCCGTTATTGAAGTTCACTGGGAGCTCTGTTTTCGTGAGCAGCTGTGACCCTCATCATGACTGTATCCTACCAGAATCGTCACATGTATGCATTCAAGGACACATGGGGCCATTCAAAATGACACACACAAGTCTTTTGGGGTCTGTGTGGCCCCAATTTTTCCTCCCTCCCCAATTCAATTTCCCAATGGGAGGGGCAGGGTTTGCGATAAAAAAATCCCCCCTATTTTCCATTATGTGGTGCATCACGTGCGCATGCATGCATGTGCATGTGCAATGCAGTGCACATGATGCGCCACATGTATGGTCCAAATGCAGCTATAATGGCTGAGCATCCTATTCGGGTGAAGACGGTAGGCCTGTTATCTTTGTCTTGCTAACAGCGTGCAGATTCCTTTTTTTTTTTTTGACGGTGGTCGCATTCTGTTATCAGCGTGGTTTTTCCAGAAGGATGCTGAATTGGGGGATCAAGCTCCCCACATGGAAAATCGTATTTTAGCTTAGCGTGAACTTGGCCTATTTCTTTGACCAGGAATGTGTTCAGGTATGGCAGAATCCTTCTAGTGAGACCTGAGCTCGACCATCAACGAAAAAACAGTTCAAAAGAGTAAGGGCCAGGCTCCACTGGTCCTAAGCTCATGCTAAGGGAGCATGGACCTGGTTCGGAAAACAACTAGTTTTGTTGTAGACTACTCATAATTAGAATGAAGAATAAAGAATCAAATTATTATGCAATCAGCATATTGAAAGATTAAGCGACCAAAGTAGCCATGAGCTGCTACAATGTTATGACGCATATGAGCAGGTTTATGCAAACATAGCACAAAATAGTGCAGGCGAGGCCTTATGCAGCAGAGCCGTGAATCTCAGACTGTATCATCTTCATTGTGCATTGATTAATGTCTTTGGATATCACCAACTCCCCCAAAGTTAGCAATGTCCTTGAGAGAACGGGTTACTTACAGTAACCCTGTCATTCTAGAAGAGGGTGTGTGCCTGTGTGGGTGCACTGTTGTGTTCTCTTGTGTTCTGTTTGTGTGTGTGTTTGTGTTTATTTGTGTGTGTGTGTGTGCGCGCTTGTGGATGGATGTGCTTGTGTGGGTGTGTTCAAGATAGCGTGCATGCCTTTTAGTGTTGGGACACCGGAGCGTTGGGCTGCGAGCCGCTGGAATGCATCACATGTGAGTCAAAGGATTGTCAGTCACTCCCAATGGACCAAGGAGTCCTGTGTTTCAGTGTTCGAAAGCAAGTTTCTCGGGTTTTGTCCAAGTTGTTGGGTCTACTACCCAATAGCTCAACCGAATCGTAACGGGGTCAGATGAAGAATGCATGACCAAGGAAGACATTGATTGTGGAAGAGTGTTTGTTCACAAGTAATGCCAAGCTGGCGGCTCATGTGTACGCGAACCAGGTGCAGGCTAACTGTGGAGATTCATGTGTACTTTCGATCTACGTGGCAAATGACTCCTACATTTTAGGGTGCTTATGTGTTTAGGGTTCAGTATTCAGGGTATAGGGTTAACGTTGTTGGGATCTAGTACCCTACAGCTCAACCGAACTCTGGACTGCGCCGATCAAGAATGTAGCTCTAGTGGCTTCTCATTGGTGGGACCAGGGAAGAAAAGAGGAAATGTAAGGTCCTCGTGATCAAGTCTAAGCCGACAGTGGAGTCCTGCACATACACGGCCCTCTTTTTCCCAGTCTTGAAATTCGCGCCTTCGTGGGATCCTGGATTAGGCGCTAGCATCTTATAGGCAGTAATCCATAGATTAATGTCTTTCATGAGACTGCTGAATAGGCCACTGGCCCGAAATTCATCATAGCTAGCGCTCCTTAGGTTATGAATATCGGTGCATGTCAAAGCAGACAGCTAATGTATATGAGAGTCAAATGTAGGCTGACTGTGGAGAGTCCTGCACGCACATGCCCTTCTTGTTCCCCAGTCTGAACATATCATCTACTTCATGCCTTTCCGAAGCGGAAAGCTGAACTGCTGAATGGGGATGCAGTTGGGAGAAGGTAGGATAGAAAACCAGCTGGTGTACCTGGCTGTCCACCATACCTAGAATGACCTAGATATGTAAGCTGTGCAATGCAAGGCCATACGGAATGGGCATGCCAACTGTGTACGAAACGGGTGAGAGTCGTTAAGAATGAAAAACAGAAAACCTTTGAATTGAGGTGAAGGAGGTGCGGTTATGGCCTATAAATACATGCGTCGACCAATGTTATGTTGTGTTCCACGATACGTTCGATAAGTGCATGCCTGGAATGTCTACGCAGGTCCTGATGCATTCACATGTCTACACATTTCAAAATCCCTTCCGCATGAATGCGGAAGATTGTGCTGCCCTTGCGCCCTCCCTTCAAACGACGCTCTTGAAATTTAGTCATGCTCAGGTGAGGGGTCACAAGATGCTTTTGTTTTGTTGTAATTGAAGTGAAGGCTATTAATAAAAACTTTCGCCCACAATGGTTTTTGTTTTCAAAAGGAAAAGTCCAGGATGTTGTTTCTGGACTCATGACAGGTACCTTTCAGCAGTCAGCCATCTGTATGAACCCACCTTAAGAGGCAACATCCCTCCCAACCTCACAACTATTCTCCCTGGCACATCTCAAACTTGCTTAGTTGCACCTCAATACAAGGACCATCACCCAATCCCCCGGCCACGGGGACGGGGTGAGATCGCAGTTGTAGACACTAGTGCTAAGCAAGGCTGCCTTTAGATCGGGTGAAGAAGCAAGTTAAGTGCCTCGGTGCTTTTTTAAATGGTATCCCTTGAAGGAATAGAAGTCTAAAATCTTTTCACGTTACAAGGTCAGAACCTCAGAATCTGAAGAGCGGTGCAGGAGTCTTGCATACACATCATCAGTGGAGACAAGATACAGTGGTATTTGGGGGTTTGCTGTTAGATCAGTGCCCATTGCCAGCTCCCTAGGCTCATGCAGAAATCCTTAAGCGGCGATGACGTAGAAAGCGGATGATGGACGGCAAATCATGTCAACTGGTGGGGAGACTGTCAATGATGTAGAAAGTGGAGTGGGCGGCAAATTATGTCAACGAGGGGGAGGAGGGGTGGGGAAGGGGTTTGTGAATGCGAGATGCAGACTTGTACAGTTGTATGAAAAACAATGTGCAAATGCGCAAATACCAGTAAGCACCTGTCATTGTTGTGGAGTGGAATGGAATGCTCAAATGCTGAACTGTTATGGGGGCTGTTGTAGGCATGGCAAGTGCAGCCCATGTGTTTGTGATCTTGTGTTTGTCTATGTAGGTTCAAATCTTGCATCACCCACTTCGTGAATGTTGGACTGTTATCGGGGCTACTGAATGTTTCTGCTGGGAGAAGAATGTAGAAGGCTCTGAAAAGCAGAAGCGCAACAAACTATGGGGGGTGCTTTTTACCCTGCTTTGATAATGGTCCTTTTTCTTTCTCTGTTTTCATGTATGGTGCTCATTGTCATACTGGGATCGTCTTTCTTTGCGCAGGGAGTCGTTTGTTCATCCCTTCTGCAGTGTTCTTCACTTGTGTGATGTTTGCCACACTCCAAGCAAGGCAGCTGTACACTAGCGATAAACAGGTCAAAACTTTTTCCCCTCTTCCTCCATTCAATTTGAGTGCTCGTCTGTCTCTACCTTGATACATTCTGTTTATTCCTCCCCCATTTTGTAGCCTTCTTTTTTTTCCCTCTTCTTTTTTTTCTTTTTTGCTTGCCCCCTCATTGCGTATAGCCATTCGGTCAAGAAGTTTCCGTTGCTTCCCCCCTCCCTGGCAGGTGATGCCAGTGTTGTGTTCATGTTTAGAAAGTGCAAACCTAGCCGCAATGATGGTCAGGTTTGTGATTTCCTATCTTGAATGTAGCAGAGATGGGGCCTGGTCCTCAGTTCCCTTCCACTGACTTTTCAGCACTTCGCCTTCCTCAGCATCACTAGGGCCATGTGGGGAGCTCGAGGCAACGGACAAGTCTGCTAGTAACTAATAGAGTGATCGCACCCCAGTGCTTTTCAGCTTCTTGGCCTCATCGTTACGTGTGTGTGGTGCTTACCTTCTGCGCCCTTGTGCTTTTTATTTCTTGGTCTCGTCATTAGGTATTGGGTGGGTGCTCGGCCTTCATTCCTTCTCATAGTTTTTTGCTCCGTGTTGTTTCCCATGCTGGTGTATCAAACTGCTATCAGTAGATGACGCTTGTCAGTCTACTTCCTCCTGAGAAATCATGTCGGTAGATGGCGCTTGTCAGTCTCAACCACTACTACCTTCTTAAAATCAAATTTTCGGGGCTTTCAAGCCCTGAAGAGGGTAGAAAAACCTAAAGCGGTTGGATTGTCCATCCAATGGACCAACTGACATAGGGCATGCCTGTTCACCTTGATGGCCTGAAGAGGTAGTGGAGTGTAAGAGGCTGACTGCTTGTATCGGGGGTCAACTTTGCTATATGATCGCTGTTCGTTGCTTGTTTTTCTTCCTCCCTCCCTCCCCATAAAACAGGTCCTTATGGCCCTGGCTTCATTTCCATTCTGGGGAGCATCAGTCCGGTTCCTATTCCACCGGCAGGTCCGAACAAAGTATTACATCATGAAACACACTCGCACTTCCTTCCGTCAGGCCAAAGGAACCCTGACTATCATTGATTACTCCAGCATCGTGGAGGATTGACTGCCAGCTTGCCTTACTTCCACCTTTCCTCTCAGGTCCTCTGTATGAACCTGTCAGATAAATGATAAAGAGCAAGAACGGTAAAAGAAGCTCCAGAAGATGAATCTCAGAATTTGCCCTTCAATATTATGAGGCCTGTGATGGATCTTGTCCGTCTGCTGGCTGAGATCTCTTCCTTTTCCATCCTGCTTCTGAGTTGTGCCAGTCTTTCCACCGTAAGCGAACATTGTTTATCTCTGCTACTTCGCCTCCTGCGAGCCATACCATAGTAAATTCTGCCCTGATTCTTCTCTGTTGCTCCTTGTCATCTGGCATAAAGTGTCTTCTCTTATGCCACTTCTCTGCCTGAATCAAGGTCCTTGTCTCCGCCCATACCTTCTCCTTTGGAGTTGAGAGTCCCTCCAAGGTTCTGCAGCACCTTTCCTTCCGGATGGACCACAGCGTTACCTCTCTGATCATTCTGAACCACGTTTTCTCTGTCTTGTGGAATTGAGCTGGGATGTTAGCCCATAGGAGTTGAATGGGGTGTTCAGGGAGGGGAGTCAAGAAGAGGGAATCCCATAGATCAGAGGCCCTTGCCCAATATTCCGTCGCCTCTTTACAGCGTATCAGGCAGTGTAGCATATCTTCTGGTTCATTTTCTGAGCATACCGCACATAAATCTGAACTGTTGGGGTCATTCTTACCTTCGCAGCCACTGGTTAACCGGTAGAGCCACGTATGAGATGAGCCATCGGAGGCTTCTGATTTTGACCGGACGGATTGACTTGAATTTTTTCCATGGTATTGGTGGGATCTGACTAGCGTCCTGACCTATTAACTTCTGCCATCTGTTCTTGATCGTTGGGTCAGGACTCAGGATCCTTTGTTTTGAGGAGGAAGTTGTATCCCAGTTTGAGTGTGTATTCCTGGATGGCGACATTCGTTTTGAGACTTCGGCTCCTGTCTGGTGTCCAAGCCCACTCTGCTGGATCAAATTCCAAGTCTTGAATCTTCGTGTCTATTCTGAAGATTGTTTCTGGCCATGATCCCAACACAAACTTTTCTGAGAACAAAAGGGCTTAGGACTGTTCTTTCCACCTCCTTATTCAGGTTAGATGGGAGGCCTTGCGTGGAGGGGTAATTGGGAAAGCGGTAAACACAGCCAGGGTATCCGACCCTTGCTGTTTGTGGGAAAATTGATAGGCCCTTGAGTGGGTTAAATCCTGCACCCTCACTCCCCATTCACCCGATTTCCAGTTTCAGGCTTCACTCGACTCCTTCCAGCCTTCTGGGATGCAGTTAATAATGGATCGTAGATTCTTGTCTCATCGGTGACATACTTTGAGCTGGGAGGTTAGTTCCTTTCTGTCACCCAGTCCTTTTTTTCCTCGTTCCAAAGATGGCTCAGTTCCCAAACTCGGTGTTTGATCCATGATAGCCATGTCCTTCCTCTTAAGGGACAGCTGGTGATCACTTTCGTCTCTCACCCATGATCCATGATAGCCATGTCCTTCCTCTAGGTTAAGGGACAGCTGGTGATCACTTTCGTCTCTCACCCACGGATTACCAAACAGGGATTGCCTCAAGATCTCGTCCTTGGATTTGGGTGTACCCACCTTATTCGGCATGACTTCCCGCCATATCCGTAGCAATGCAGTCGAATATGGTGTGGGGGGGCTGGCTTCTTTTGGACTGCTTCCTCTTCGTTGATTTCCGTGCCCTGGACATGGGCTCCATTGCTGTTTATTGCTCTCCATGCAGAATGTTAAATGTTGGTTGGGTGGGAAACGGTTGTGGCAGCCTCCCTTTGTTGCAGGGCAATCGGGCACATATTGATGATGGCTTATATCGAGCCCTTGTCTTGCGTGTTGACCCTCCCGTGCGTGCTCGTATGGCTGTATTTGTTTCTTATTTCAGGATGCTCCAAAGACATTGGACAAGGATGCTGACCCTGTGTATGTCAAGGACTGGAAGGTGAGTGGGGCGTTGCTAAGCTGCTGGGCACACCTTTTATCCATTGTTATATTTGAGGCGAGTTGCTCTTCAAATCTCAGTTGCAAGGAGGAAAATGTCGTGTTGTTGTCTTTTCAGAATGCTGTTTGCAGAAGATGGTAGGTAGGTACTCGGGGGCTTGAGTTAGATATTAGAAGTATGTAACCTGAGTTGGTGTATGTTCTTGAACATGGCAGATGGCATGCATCCGGAAGCTTCCCCTTCGGCTGTTCTCACGATGCTGGGGCGTACTGACTGCCTTGGTAAGTTCCGCTTCATCATGCCTTGACCATGGCTGAAACTGGGAGTCTATCTTGGTCCTGATTTATATTAGAAAGCTAATGCTTCTTGTGGTTGCTGCAGGTTGCGACCAAGAACGTCTGAAAATTTTCTCCCATAAGTATTGCGTCCCCCCTGGTGGCATCCCGCTTTCCCTCCTCTATTCCTTGTGCAAACATTGTCCTGCAGTAAGAATAACTCTATCAGTGCACACTATTCTAATTTCGCTCCCATACGTATTGCGTCCCCCCTGGTGGCATCCCGCTTTCCCTCCTCTATTCCTTGCGCAAACGTTGTCCTGCAGTAAGAATAACTCTATCAGTGCACACTATTCTAATTTCGTCAGCATTGGAGTTGCAGGCTGACACATCCTGCCTGGTTTGGATGTCCTAGCCAGTGTACCTTGTCTGGTGTGAGCCAAGGGATGTGTTGGCATTGAAGTCCCACGCTGACACATGCTGTCTGGTATGGATGTCCTAGCCAGTGTACCTTGTCTGGGGTGAGCCAAGGCATGTGTGCCGTATGGATAGGAGCGCATGCTGCGGGGGGCTTTTGCCTTACACTTTTCATTGCATGCTGCCCTTGTGCTTCCCGGAAAGAGCTGTTGTTGTGGAGACATAGCAAAAAGGAACAAGAGAAGAAAAAGTGCCTGAAAAGAGCTGCTGGTGTGGAAACATGACAATAAAGAACAAGAGAAGAAAAAGTGAGACTGCATCTGGAAAATTACCTGCCTGCTTGATCCTGCAATGGGGGGATGAATGGTGGGGGGTTGCCACGGTCTATGGCCCAATGGAAATTGGGGATCAAAGAGGGATGTGGGAACAGTTGCAGAATCTGGTGCCGGGCGTGGACAAGCTTATAATAGCAGGTGACTTAACTCGGTCACTGACCCGGTGCTGGACTCTGCTAGACCAAGGCATGCAGAGGCAGACTCAATGGCACTCATCAACGGAATGACAGGGCTGGGCTGCATGGATTCATATTGGGCCTTATACCCACAATACAGGGCTCTCACATTCTGGGGGAACACGGTAATCAGAAGAAGCAGAATCAATATGATATAGGCGTCAACGGATCTTAATGAAGTGATAGAGCAGGCCCATATAAGCCCGATGGCCACATCGGATCACTCAGCGGTGATAGCAAGCTACCCGGTGGGGCAGCTGGAGATGGGCCACCCCCCGAAGGCAATACTGGCCTGGATCTTTAAAAGTGCAGAGTATCTGCCTGTGGTAACCCGATTTTGGGAAGAATGGGTGAATGATTGCCCGCAGGATAACCTGCTGGCCTACATTGCGTCGGCGGCCCAGGAGCTGCGAAGGATACTGGTGAAGCAGCTCCGTTGCAGGTACCTGGCACACCAACGAACAGGGGAGGAGTTCGCAGGCTAGAGGAACTAAATGATGGCCCAGCAGGAGAGCAAACAGAGGATGAATGGTGGGTCGAGTGGGTGGAGGCAGCCCGGGGATGGAGGGAATGGCAGCGGGAGGAGGCAATTAAATGGGGAGGGCGAACCAAGGAGTCGTGGATTGTGGTAGGGGAACAAATGACACAAAAGTTTTTTGCCATGGCTGGCACACGTGAGGCGGCACCGCTGATGACAGCTATGGAAGGCGGCCTGAGGATGGAGGGAATGGCAGCGGGAGGAGGCTATTAAATGGGGATACATCATGCCGGTAGAACTCTTTAAGGCTTCGCTGATGACAGCCAGGGCTGGACGTCATGCCGGTAGAACTCTTGAAGGATTTCCGCAAGTTCTTCATGATCCTACTGATGGCGGCATACATCGAAGCGCTCAAACACGGATCCTTCCCACTAGGCTTCGCAGATGCGTATGTGGTACTGCTCTATAAAAAAGGGGTGACGGAAGATGTGCGAAACTGGCGGCCGATCTCGATCCTCAATGTGATGTACAAGATCTTGGCCAAGCTAATGGCAACGTGCTTGAAAGAGATGCTGCCCCGTATTATTAATCCCGCCCAGACAGAGTTTGTATCGGGCCATCAGATCCTATCTAATTTGCTTTTGGCGCAGCAGATTCTGGAGGAGCAGCGTACTGCAATGCCGTGACCTTCGTCTCTACAGACTTGGAGAAAGCATACGACGACCGGGTCGGATGGGAGAAAGCAGACAACGGCAGGGGATGGTGTGCAGAGGGATAGGAGGGATCTTCTGTGGATGGGTGAGAAGCATGCTAAAAGGGGCAACAACGGTGACGCAAGTTAAGGGGGTAAGGTTGGACAAGGAAGGATCTTCTGTGAAAGTCACCAGGTCAGTTAGACAAGGATGCCTGCTTTCCCTGGCCTTTTGCGTCATCTACATTGAGTCCATGCACGACAAACCGAGGGCGGATGACCGGCTGATTGCTATGAAGGCTCGGCCTGTAATGGAGCTCGAGTCCACGACCTTCGCAGAGGATTCGGGCGCAGTGCTGCAGCTGGCCATCCTCAAGGAAGACTTGCAGACTCTCTGCGATTAGGACAAAAGGATGGGACATCCCCACAGCGGAGGAAGGAGAACGAATTCCTTTTCAGTGGGCGAATCTCACACCAAGCTTCGGAGGGGTTGAGCTGATGGCGATCCAGGCTACGGCAGCGGCAGCTTGACTCAAGGCATGGAGCGCTAGAGGTAGCATGGGAGCCTTTGGTAAGGCCCTTATTATTAAGAACTCTGTGATGTTCACCTTATGGTACGTCGGCGCCATTATTCACATGCCGGGCAAGCGCACCTCCAGGTACATCAGTAAGGCGGTGCTTGCGCAGTTATGGTCAAACAATGCACATGTGGAAGACTCCATATGCAGAGCGGCCTGGAATAAGCTTATCCAGCCAGGGCGCTTTGGGGGACTGGGACTTATGGACGCACGGATGCAGATGATTGCCCTGCCGATGCGCCAGCTGATCTGGCATCTGCTGGGTATGTTAGAGGGTGCCTGGCAAGAAGTCACCAGGACCCACTTGGCATATGCACTTGAGGTGCCTAGGGAGTGGTGGACCTATGTTTAATTAGTAATACAGCAATGGGTCACCACAGGGCCACGGTGTGGTCCGCCAAATTGGCGCTGTGGGAAAAAGCACGTTTGAGATGTTGAATGCCGGAAAATGCAGATGCAGTCTTCAACCAGCTACTGTTTGGCACCGGTTTATCTGTGATGTTGCTGGAGAACCCTTCCCATGGCATGGCGCGCGAGGTGCATATGGGTGGAAGTGGGCGAAGCAAGGAATTTGTAAGGTGGGTCACCTTTGGGATGAAGACAGGAAGGACTGGCTTGATGAGGAGGTGGTGGAATCGCTGCACGGACGAATGAGGAGGCTAAGGGTTCGAGAATTGTGGGAGGCTATCCCCCTTCAATGGGTCGAGACTCGAGATGTTAAGAAAATATGAACTAACCCCCGGAGAATGGGTGAAGCTGAAGGGAACCCCGCGACCAGAGAGTTTACAGGGTGGAACATGTATTGGCGGATGACAGATTGGAAGTTATGGGATGGCCAGTAAACTCGGGCTATGAGGGATTAGGGGAGCCCTTGCAGGAATGCAGCACGCATGAGGGAGGCCCTTGGAAGACAGTGGACAGAACCGTGATGGAAACAGTGGTGGGGTGTGAAGGGGTTTGGAAGGAGGAGGGGCAATACCGGCCATTTCGGATAGCTGACTGGCGAAGGGAGTTGATATGGGACCTGAGGGAGTGGGAATGGCCGTCCCATAGAATGCAGAGGGAACATTTATAATTCCCTACTGGAGGTGGTGGACATTTGTGCAGAACTGAAGAACCGGTGGGTGAAGAGGGTCTGGATCCTGGACGTGAATTTCAACAGATAGACGCATCACAGCTGGAACGAGCAAAATGCAATCCCGGCCGCCTTACCAGATCAGAAACAGGTGGGCCTGCTATGGCAGCTTTATCATCTGGCAATCCGCACGGCACAATGGTTGGCGGCCAGGATGGCACAAGGATCAGACATGTGCAGCGGAATGTGGGCAGGTGGACACTGTCCCCTACCTCTTTGTGCGATGCCCGGTCGTCTGAGCATTCTGGGAACGGTGGGCGCAGGAGTTTGCAGATCACTCCCCACTGAACGTTACAGAAGCAGACAGTGCGGCCATACTCCTCGGAGCCTTTATGAAAGTGGACAGATCGAGACTGGAGGATCTGGTGGCGGCAGAGACCATACTTGCGGGGGTATTGTGGGCCCTGTGGTGGACAGGGAGCATCTCCACTGCTGCAGGCTTACCTGGAAAGTGCATTGGAGAATATGAGAACTGCTCTCCTGGCTGACCTTCACCGAAACAAGCGGGTAGGGGAACAGAAGGATAGAGGATTCTGGGCAAGATGGAGACCTCGCAGCTGCTCACTCAGGGTACTCGGATGGGCCGTGTGCAGTTTGACCCACTGCTGATGCGCCATGCGCCGGCGACCGAGGTGGAGGAAGAATCGGACCAAGGCGATGGACTTCCATGAAAGCAACCGATTTGTACCATATTTAGGCCTGGGTAGGAGAGGTAAGAGAACTAGGATTAAATGTATTATAATAGAGGTACTATTATAGATTAGACTTGCAGTAGGAGATGCTCATGGACAGATGGGAGGGTTTATACTGGGGGAATATAATGATATAAATTAAAAAAATAAAATGAAAACATAGACTAACAAAAGGAAAAACACAGCATGACGCAGGAAACAGGTATAGATGGAACAGAGGATGGTAAAGGAAATACTGGGGCCATAGATACAATAGACATAATGGGGAATGCTCAATTGTCTTAAACCACTGGTACACGGCCCCAGCCTGCAGTCCAAAACTTGTTGCCACAAGAAAACGAGGCCAGAACGTCACACGCTGGACTTGGCCGTCGCCTTTTGGTTTTGCGCTTCCAGAATTCGAGGTGTCAGGCCCGTGGCCCAGGTGCCCATATACTGGTGCTTTAACTGCCGCAGTGGTGACACTTGGTACGGGTGTACTATTGTTGCATACTGGTGAAACAC